AACGACATGAAGGCACATTTTGCACTGTTTTCTTACATTTTCTCATATCTGGCCCTCTGTGTCCGTGACACCTGTGCAAATCCCCTATTTTAAAACCAGCTGGCATAGCTATGAGCCCCGACTTCTCAGTTGCCTTTGATTTAATTTCGCTGGCTAGTTACCTATTCCGCTTCTGCAAGTATGACTAACCTGGCTTCACTCTCTTTTCCCAAGCAGAGATCAAACTGCAATGCTAATCAGCCTATTGATTTCATTTAGAGAAATGAATAAGCCTAGGGATACGCAACAGCTGGTCTCTTTATGGATGCCTTTTAATGATTTCATTAGGTTTTAGTGAGGTTTCATTACAGATAGTGGACCTTTTCTTTTTCCTTCGTTTTTTTTTTCCTCTTCATGCCCTTCTGTCCTTAATCAGAGCTATCGATTTGGTGCGTGAGACATTTTAATCTCATGAAAGAGGCATGCGTGGCTGCTCCCTGTCACAGCCCAGCAATTCCCCCAACGGATGCAAACCAGAGAAAGAGGCTGATGGGAAAAGGGCACTGGGTAATGACAGAATAACACCATGGCAGAGAGAGAAGAGATGAAAAGACAAAAAGAGAGAGAGAGACATAAAGAGAGAAACAAGAGTCTTTTCTCTTGGAGTCACATATAGCAGGACAACTGTATTTGTGTGTGTGAGAATAGTGACAGTTTTTGTTGTTTTGGCTGTTTTCCAGCACATTGAATTTAAAACAATGACTGTGGAGTTACTACCCTTCATCTGTTTCATTTGCAGTCAAAGTAGCGGAAGTTGTGTGAGTGAAAGTAAGCTTCAGAAACCAAGCAGACAACATGTACAATTTTTCAGCATTTAGTATGTCTGCTCTTTGTCTTTAGTACAGCCTTCACTCTTTTTGGGAGACTTGCTTCCAGTTTTTCAAAGAAATCTGCAGGGATATTTTTCCACACTTCCAAAGTTGAGTCTTAGAAGTTGGTTGCATTTTCTGCTTCCCACAATCCATGAAAACACCTTTAATGATGCTGCACCCTGGTCTCTGGGGTGGCCAGTCCTGAGAACACCAGCGTCTTCCTTGTTTGATTTGTACATTTTCTACACAGTGGCTTGGTGGTCTACTAGGTCTTGCACAGTTGTTAGGATTCCCAATTTCTCTATATCTTGTAATATTTTTTTATTGCATTTTTGGAAACTGCAAACTTGTGTTTAATGGCCTATTTGACTAGAAATTAAGTAAACTAAAGGGTGGTCATTGACATTCTGTGTAGCACCTCATTTCAAACAACATAGTTAACTGAGCAGTTATTTAACACTTGGTTTGCAGTCAAGGACGACCTGAAGTCTGCAACCCATAAACATCACCAGATGCTGGGTGTCTTCATCTTGAGACTTTTTGCCTTCACTCATGTCTTCAGCAAGTGAGATGCATGCTCACAAGGCTTCAAGTCCAGTGACTGACTTGGTCAGTCAAAAATATACCATGTTTTGGTCCTGAAAAACCCCGCAATTCCTTTAACAGTGTGTTTTAGGTTAATGACTTGCAGCTAAATGAAGTACCAGCCACTGAGTTTTAAGGCAGTTGGATCTGAGCTTAACTGATACTTAAGCACACACCTGAGTTCATCCTTTAACAGACAGTACCTTGTATTTTGCACCTTGTAACTTCTGAGATCATATTGGTGTTCTCTTTATGTTAGTTTTTGACTGATTGATGCATTCCTAACCTGCTCACATGGGTGTAGGAAGGTGTTTTAAGTTAGAGGGTGGTAAAATGTTAAGCAGCATATATGTGATGTGAATGATGACATCATGCTAAATTATTTGCTTTTTTTCCTTTTCCATATTCTTGATAATCTACATCAAACAGACTGTCTCATACTGTACTATAATGAGGCAATAGAGGACAACATATACATATAACTGACACATCAGACCACTGATGTACATCCTTTTTCTGCTGTCTCATTCTGGATTGAACATGGGAACACTGAGCAGGAGATATAACGATTCATAAAACATTGATCTGTCAGATGATTTTTTTCAATGTTTAAAAACAGCATTGGGCTGCTTTAGGGTTAAAAACTGGACTCTACATACACTTTCTCTTTTTGAACCTTAACCTGGTGTGTTTTAGTGACCTGCCCCAAAATTGGCCAACTGTCGAGGAAAGGGATTCAGCAGTAATGAAAATACATGGTTATTAAATGAAACAGAGCATGGTTAAAAATATATAAATGATAGTAGAAAAATACAAACTCCTCTCTAAAACAAACACACCTGGGTCTTTGCTAAGCTTAAATTATTAAAAAGTTCATATCTCTGTATTAGTATTGTTTTTAGCAGCTGCAGTCCTGAAATCAGGGGATGCTGCAACCCCCTCAGCACCCCACTTCCCATGATCCTACCCGCTCAATATTTTTCGGTAAGTATTCTTCGATCATCCACTCTTGTGGTATTCTGTGGTTCTTTGCTGTTGTGAAGCTAGTGAGTGTTTTCTTGCTTCTTCACAATGTACAAAGCAGTTGATTCTGACACACCTAAGATTCCTTCTCACCTCTGATTGATTTGTTTTGATTGTTTAGCTTCATCATGGCCTGCTTTAATGGCACTGACAGCTCTTTGATCCTCATGGCATCAGTGCCTGATGTGATAGATAGGCATCATTGTTTGGTGTGACATCAAGAAGACATGTTTGGTGTCTGAAGTATAAAAATAGACAAAAGTACAGACAAAAATCAGGTTTCAAGATGACTGCTACTGCTGTTTCAGATACAGTCCTATGCCCAGGTTTGAACACTCTCAGTCAAACTGCATGTTCGGTTGATTTGATTGAAGTGACAATGAGCTGACACATCCTCTACAGGGAGCACACTTTAATATGGCATTTTTGTCTGCAAATTTTAGTGCAACATTTTTTATTTATTAGAGTTTAACTAATTAGAAAAGATAAAACATGAAATATAATGACAATATACGTGCCTTAGCTTTTGCAAGGGCCCCATTAATGTTTTGTTTTGTTCCCAATAGGTTAAATTCAGTTTATAAACAGTAATTGTGCATTAAAATTGCAGAGATGTGTTCTCTGTAGAGAGTGTGTTAATTTATTTTCACTTAGAAAATCAGCAAAACATGTCATTTGACCAGGGGTGCCCCAACTTTTGCATAAAACTGTGCTATATACCTATTTTATAGACAGCAGTATGTCATGTAGTATGTCTCAAGCAAGTCTATATAATAGTGCTTGACACATTATTTGAGTCATGTTTGTGATGTTTTAGTCATGCAGAAATCACTGGTGACTATAAGCTTCCATTTCTTATTAGCAACATTAGCCTTGTAGCTCCAGTGCTAAAACTAAACAAGCAGACTTCAGACACCAAACAATGTTGAGGCTGATTGACTCCATTTGGGCTAAAGGAGAAACTGTGAAAATTAGATTTTTTGCCAAACCGTCACTTTAATTGCTGAGCTACCACCCAAAATCTTTCAGACCTCCGAATTTGAAGTCACGCACTCTTACATTCTGGAGCTCTGTGTCGCAGTGTGTCAGTACATAAAGCTCATTACAGCTTTCAAGCAGTGACTGATCAGAAGCGAGGGATGAACTGTGATCAGTCAGGAAGGGAGGTGAAAGCAAAGGATGTGATAAAAGGACAGATAAAAAAAGCAGGTGAACTGAGATGACCGGCTGAGTTTGATTACCCTCTGAACTCAAACAGAAAACTAAATCAATCCATTTCCTTTAACATTCAAAAAGGACCTGGGTCACAAACCTGCTCCACATCAAAGGAAGGCTAAGTAAATATGCTCAAGCTTGCATGCATACATGCTTAAACAGGACAGAACTGTGCACACCATAACAGAAAACTGCAACATCAGCATCATCATTACTGGTATTTTATGGCACATAATTGCAGATCTGCAGTATCTAGGTCATTCAGAGCCTTAAAAACAAGTAGCAGAACTTTAAAGTCTATCCTAAAAGATACAGGTAGCCAGTGCAGTTCTTTCAAAATGGGAGTTCTGAATGGGAGAGCTCTCTTTTTTGTTTTTGTTATCTGTGCTGCTGTATTTTGTAGAGTTGAAGAGGATGGATTGTTTTTTTAGGAAGCCCAGTAAGAAGAGCATTACAGTAATCAACTCTGCTTGTAACAAATGCAGAAACAAAATTGAGCAATATTCTCAAATGATAAAAAGCTACTTTAGTGATTATGTTTACACGTGATAAACAGTGTATTTCAGGTTTGGTATACGAAGCTAAAGAACTTAGATTCTCACAAAGCAGCTTTCTCTGAATTTTAGTACCAAGGATCAGTATTTAAGTTTTTTCTTGATTTAGTTGTAGGAAATTTGGTGACATCCACTGAGAAATATCTGAAATATAGCTTGTAAGCCTGTCAACAGAGTCTTGAAGGAAGAGACACATATAATTGTGTTTTATTACCATAGCTGTGAACACTGATGTCATGTTTACTAATGACATCACCTAGAGGTAACATGTACAAAGAGAATATCAAAGGCCCTAAAACTGAACCTTGTGGAACGCCACAGGAAATGTTATATTTTTTGTGTGGGTCCACTGATCATTTTAGATGGTAAATAAAATTTGTTTCTGCGTCCTATCACCACCACTGTAAAGGACATCTAAGCAGGCAAGGTCTTCTGCAATGCACAACTTCACACCAAACCACTCTGAATGTCTTTATTTACATCTCACTTATTGCAGAAATGTTGAAAATACAGTGAAATTTTCCTTTAAAGGCCTTATTGTTTATCTTTTCACAAAGTGTAAAGATTCAAATGGTCTGCTATTGTTCAGTTATGTCCATTTGTATTGTTTTAAGCCCATTTTAAAAATTCAGATTAATTGATTAATCATCAAAATAGCACTTCATTTGATTAGTACTTTGAACCTGATTGGTTTGAAATAGTAGATTACTTGATGACAGATACTGACACTAATGTCGAGAAAGAGGCTAGATCAAGTGGGAGGCTTGCTTACCTGAATCCATTTGTCAGGTACGGCCATGGCCAATCGATAATCGAAGCCCAGCCCGCCCTCTTGGATCGGTCTGCATAAGCCTGGCATCCCCGAAACATCCTGCACATCATTCGCACGAAAACACACCAAATGGAAGCATGAACAGCAAAGAAGGGAGCTCAACAGGACACGTTAAGGATGGTCAAATCTCTAGCCAAGATCTAGATCCAAAAGTACTAAAGAAGCTGCAATTTTCTAACTCTGTGTGTGTGCAGCACATTGCCCTATTGATTAATCACATGGACAGATGGGCAGAAATTGCACCAATTTGAACATTAGGAGAGAAACTGCTCCAACGGCTGCTTTCATTACAGGCAGCATGGCTCTGGGGTGAGTCAGGAGAGGTAATGGTGAGAGAGGGTGGGAGAAAAGCAGAGGGAGAGGAAGAGGAGTGGAGGAGGGAGGAAAAAAGTGAGAGAAGTGGAGAGAAAGAAAGAATAGAGGAACGAGAGAAAACTGGTGGGCGATTGGGAGCGCCGAAGGCAGAGCTGGAGGGAGGCGCAGGATTGTGCTCCTGAAGAGCTCCCTGTTCTCCTCACTAACCACTAGCTCCTAATTACCCAATTATCCTCCCTGTTCCATTAACTTCACCATTCCACCTCCATTTCTCTTGGTGTTAATGCTTTAAATAAAGGCGCTGGGAGACAGAGACAGAGAAAGAGGAAGAGGCGAATCAAATGAAATTTCCATTTTGAAAAGAGGGGGGAAAAAAGGGTAAGTGGAACAGTAATTGGTGGAAGAGAAGGGGAAGAAGTTAGAGAGGCTCTGGAGAGGAAGGGGGGGCAAAAGAGCTCGAAAGTAGCAATGAACCTCTGTCCTTGGGTTGGTTCTCTCCTTATAAAGTGGGTGAAAGAGTGAAAGAACTCATGGCAAAGTCGATGCATATGATTTTCTGCAAAGGATGCAACAATAACTTCGTTCATGTGCAAATTAATTTTTCATTAAAGTTAGTATTTGATTTTGGCATTTACTATTTACTGAGTTTAACATATTGGAAAAAAATAAATCATAAAATGCAGCCTGTGCAAATGCTATGGCATATTTTATCCTTTAGGTTTTAGTATTTCCTTCTCCAGCACGTCCCAAAGATTTGTAAAGGGGTTAAGGTCAGGCCTCTGTGGTGGCTAATTCATGTGTTAAAATGATTCCTCATGCTCCTGGAATCACTCCTTCACAGCTCCTTGAGCCTGATGAATCTTGGCTTTGTTGTCCTGGAATATGCCAGTGCCATCATGGAGGCAAAAAAAATCCACTGATGGGATAAGCTGGTCATTCAGTACATTCAAGTAATCAGCTGACTTCATTATATTGCCACATAATGTTGCAGAGCTTAGACCTGACCAACTGAAGCAACCCCAGATCATAACACTGCCTCGAGAGACTTGTACAGTGGGCACTATGCATGATGAATGCATCACTTCATGTGCTTCCCTTCTTATCCTGACGCGCCCATCACTCTGGAATAGGGTAAATCTGGACTCTTCAGACCACATGACCTGTTTCCATCTGTGAGTTCTTGTCATGGCAATGTGTGTGGAAATATATACTCTTACTTTCACTGTTAAACATAGCTGTGAGTTCTACTGTCGCTTTTTTATGATTCGACTTCACCAAGATGTTTTTCCTACTTCATTTCTTCCGTGAAGTTGATGTTTCACTAATGTCCTTCCAGGTTTTAATACAACCTATTTTCAAAAAAGTTGGGACGTTGTGCAGAATGTAAATGAAAATAGAATGCAATGATATGCAAATCATTTAACATGTAAACCATATTTTTAAAGGAAAATACCACGAAAACAACACATCAAATTTTGAAACTGAGTAATTTTACTGTTTTTTTGAAAAATATGTGCCCATTTTGAATTTTATGCAAACAACACATTCCAAAAAAGCTGGGATGGGGGCATGTTTACCACTGTGCTGCATCACCTCTTATTTTAACAACACTCTCTAAGTGTTTGGGAACTGAGACGACCAACTGCTGTACTTTTGAAAGTGAAATGTTTTCACTTTCAAAACTTGTTTGATATAGGATTTCAGCTGCTCATCAGTTCGGCGTCTCATTTGACGCATTTTTCATTTCAAAATGCTCCACATGTTATCAGTGGGTGACAGGTCTGGACTGCAGGCAGGCCAGTTAATGCCTGGACTCTTTTAATACAAAGCAATGCTGTTGTAATACATGCAGAATGTGGTATTGTTTGGTATTGTCGTGTTGAAATAAGCAAATACTTCCCTGAAAAAGACATCATCGGGATGGCAGCATACATTAACAAAACGTATATATCGTTCAGCATTAATGGTGCCTTCACAGACGTGCACATCACCCATACCTTGTGCACTAATGCACCCCTATACCATCATGAATACTGGCTTTTGAACTGTGTGCGGATAACAAGCTGAGTGGTCTTTAGTCCAGAGGACACAGTGTCCATGATTTCCAAAAAGAACTTCAAATGTTGATTTGTCGAACTACAGGACACTTTTACACTTCACCTCAGTCCATTTTAAATGAGCTTGGGCCCAGAGAAGGCAGGAACATTTTAGAGTTTTAACTTGCATTTGTGGATGCAGCGACGAACTGTGTTCACAGACAGTGGTTTTCAGAAGTGTTCCTGTGCCCATGCAGTGATTTCCACTACAGAATCATATCTGTTTTAAAGCATTGCCGCCTGAGGGCAAAAAGATCGTGGCCAGCAAATACTGGTTGTTGGCCTTGTCCCTTGCATACAGGGATTTCTCCAGATTCTCTGAATCTTTCAATGTTATTATGTACCATAGATGATGAAAAGCAAATATTCTTTGCTATTTTATGTTGAGAAATGTTATTCTTGAATTGTTGCACTATTTATTCATGCAGCCTTTCAAAGAGTGGTGAACCCCTCCTCATCTTTACTTCCAAAAGACTCAGCCTCTCTGCAATGCTTTTTTATACCCAGTCATGTTACTGACCTGTTGTCAATCAACCACCAGGTGTTTTTTTTAGCATTACGCAACTTTACCAGCCTTTTGTTGCCCCCATGCCAACTTTTTCGAACGTGTTGTTGGCATCAAATTCAAAATGGGCATACATTTTTCAAAAAACAATAACATTTCTAGGTTTCAACATTTGATATGTTGTCTTTGTACTATTTTCAATTAAATATAGGGTTCAAATGATTTGCACATCATTGCATTTTGTTTTTATTTTGTTTTCTATGCTTAAGGCAGACCAATAATTTGACCCTTCTGAAGCACATTAACATCTTTTCCACATTCATGGGATATGTCTTCTGACATTGTCGTTTAAGAAATGAGAAGCTACTTTTATCATCAAAATAAAAATAATTGTTTCCAGCTGAAAATATTACTCACTGCGGTTATTATCTAATCACGGGCTCTTAAGTATTTGCTTATTTAAAACCAAACAGCAAACAGCCAGGCAGTGTATTAAACTCAGCAAATCAATAGAAATAGAAATTTGCAGAAATATGCCATATCTAAATTTGTTTCCTGTAGAGGATATGTTTACTTATTTTAACAACAAAACATGTCATTTTGACTGGGGAAGTTTAAACTTTAGCATATGACTGTATATTGGGGTTTATTAGTTTGGTTCTTACTTTATTTGGAAAGCACAGTTCACCCCCCCATAAATCATCTACAGATATTCAGATTGTTAAGAAACTATCTGGTATTGGTAGTTTGGTATCTAAGTTACGTTTTTTAAGTATCTATATTTTTTAAGTATCTACATTATTTTACTTGGCCGCTGTTCAATTTTGCTCTGTTCAAACTTTCAACAGCAACATGAAATCTTAGACCAATCACATTCGTCTCTGGCCTTGGCATGACAACAACCAAAAGAACAAACTGGCTATGAACCAGCAACTAGACCTTTTTCTCAAATGTCAAAAGGCTCAGAATGTCCAAAAGCAGCTCCAAAGGTGCTTAGAATGGGCTTCAAACATTCAAATTTTATCAGGAGGCACTGAAAGTTTAAGCTTCTGAATGAAGTGCTAAACTCCACACGCTACTTTCCTTTTTCAAAAATGGAGAGTAGCCTAGTGTGGCTGTTTACTTATACTGTGAGGGGCAATGCATATTTGCACTTGAAGACTTGTTTGTTTTGTGCTTCATCTCATGTCGAGCTGCTTTACTAAAAGCACCTGAAACTGAGTTACAGAGATCTGTGCTGTGTGAAAGAGCTTATAATGATTTAGCTCCTGAATGAGGAAAGCATTATACATAATGTGACAGGCTGCCCTGTTTGTGAGAAGCAAAGGACCTTTTGATAGATATTTTGCCCACTGTTTTTTGCAATGTGAATAACTGAGCTCTTGATTATAACCTGTTCTATTGCCAATCTTTGTCCATGCACAATGCATGGCCATGTGTTTTATATACCTACTGGTAATGGGTGTGGCTAAAAACACAAGAAACTCAATAATTAGGAGGGGTGTCCAAACAAAAGGTACGAAACGCCTCCAAATAGAAAGTTCTAAAAGTTTGTTGGATGGTCTAAAATGTTGCAATACTGGCTAGTAGACAGTAAAAGTAAACAGCCAATTCAGTAACATCCACTTCAATGTGTTGTGGTTATTAAGCATATGTTTAGCTGTGAGCAGTGGATCAGCAACTACTGGATGCAATTCTCTAATGTGTATGTTTTCTCTGTGTGTGTATGCTCTGCTCGTGCAGTTGCTTCAGCTGTTATAGCTGTTATTTCAGTCTTGCGGGCTATGTTTAATTGGATATCTGCTTTATGATGCTAACCACGTATCTGTGCTTGTGTGTTGCTGGCTCTGCACGTTGTGTACTGTTTGAGATGTTTTCTGCACTCGCTCAGGGCCCACAGATGAAAACTCCAGCAGACTTGCAGCAATGTCCAAGAACATGCATCATCAAATAAAGGAAAGTACAGCTAAAATAGTCCCACGCCATCTGCTTTATCTGTGGCGGATAGCCTAGAGCTGATAGGAGTGGATGGGCCAAAGCCCATTACCTCGGCTATGGTGATGCATTCTGGGTAGAGTTTGTGCAGGGTATAATTGGACAGCATGAGATGCACCACAGCGTCTTCATCAACATGCATGCCAAAGTAGTCGCTGTAACTCCCTGAAAATGACACACCTGGAAAAAGAATAAAAATGAAAAAATAAAAAAAACATTTATTTATATGTAGGTGCAATTGTAGCTTAAGAGAAGCAAAAACTGTTCTTAATTTTAGGTTTGTTAACACAAACATTTTGGACTATTTATATTGATCCATTTGCCTTCAAATGCTGATACAATGTAAATGGCAGGTGGAATTTTCAAAGTGCCAAAAAAAGAAAAGAATTGAAGATCTGATATATAGCAACATACAACATTTAAAGGGTCCTTTATTTTTTGAGTATTTTATTGATTTTTCTGGAGTCCACTTATATGGGTTTATGTGCCAAAAATAGTCCAAATTAATTTTTACATGACAAATTTCCAACCTCTCTTAGTCCCTTAAGAATTAAACAGGTTCTTTTAGTCACTGTGCCTTGATATAGTACTGTGCAAAAAGAGACCAGAGAGACCTCATTTATTCATTTATATGATTTTCAATCAAACATGTATTTAGGGGGAAAATTACACAAAACATGCTTAATGTAATTTCTAATTGTTCAGTATTTACTGTTTCAGTTTTTAGGGCCTTTATTAAAGCTTCAATTCTATTTGGGAGACTTGCTTTCAGTTTTTCAAAGAAACCTGGAGAGATATTTTTCCACACCTCTAAAATTCAGTTTTAGAAATTGGTTGCATTTTCTCTCATTTTTCTCAGTAACAGCTTCTTTACAGCTACACATCCCTTCAGACTCATAGCATTGTGTTGTCTTCTCACAGTGGAACGATGGACCGAAACACAAACCACACACAGACACACACACAGAGACACACAGACACACACACACACACACACACACACACATTTTCTAAACTGCTTATCCTTCTGGGTTGTGGGGGGGAGCTGGAGCCTATCCCAACTGTCATTGGGTGGAAGGCAGGATACACCCTGGACAGGTCGCCAGTCGCCAGTTTTTTTTTTTTAGATCTGAAGCAAGAGTGGAGTTTTAATGGCCTATCAGGTCTTTCATGGTTGGTAAGAGTCTCTATACCATTTAATAATTTTTGGAACCCCCTTCCTCACGCAAATAAATTATCATAGATCGAAACTCTAGCTTCTGAAAAATGCATAACTTAAATGAAGGTAAATGAAGAGTGGTCTCTGACTCTGCGCAGTACTATATATATATATATATATATATATATATATATATATATATATATATATATATATATATACTATACTATATATATATATATATATATATATATAGCTGAAACACCCCTTATAACTTCATTGTGAATTGGTGTAACCAATGTTGTTATAAGTGTGTTTGACTTGACAAGAACAATGAATCCAAAACAGACTATTTTGGCAGCTTTCCATTTAGGGATCTTTTAGACTGTGGAGTGAATTTTATGTTTTAAAATATTTTTGTGCTGCATGAAACTCTTAACTGACGAAAAGCAAGAAGGATTTGTTTTTTCTCCATGATATGAGCCCTTTGTTGTGAACAGGAATGCAAATTGAATACAGAAATGTTTGTGTAAGTGGTGGAACAAGATCTTCTGAGATGAACTGGTTTGAATCTTGGAATTTAGCCTGTGATGTGTGTCAGTGATTTATTCAGATGATCCACGTTCTGCGAGTGCCATGAACATGGTATGCTGTAGCTCCACTCCGGCTCTGACTACAGCACTTCTCTCCACTCTCACTTAATGGGCACAAACAGGCAGACTGCGGCTGGACTCGGAGCTATTACAGTGGCTTTTAGGTTAACGTCATGGATAGAGTCTTTAGGGCAGATCTGCCATTGCAGTGTAGTAGATTCTGTACATGTCTGTACTGAGATAACCTTGAACCGTGAAAAAAGGGTAAAATCACTACAGGAACAGGACTTGTAAAATATCATGTGTCAATATGGAGCAGTGTGATGACTAAGCAACAGATTTACTAGTGTTCTGAGACGTTGCCTCTTTTTTAGCATTAACAAGTGACTCGCAATTTACTAAATAGGTGTAGCGGTTCTTTAGGATCCATAGTAAGACTAAACGGCAGTTGCTGCCCTTTTGCCTATATTGCATATATATTTATAGGACTTTCCTTCTCAAGTGCATGGAATACTGGGAGAAGATTATATATGTCTTAATTAACCATCTTCAGAAACTGAAAACCTAAAACCAAACAGTTTTAGGAAAATTATGTTGCCACTTCCCAACACTTTAGGTATACTGAACAGCTCTATCAAAAAGCAGGTTTTGCCTGAACAGTGATTTGAGTTTTCTTTTCCAAAAGATTCTTAAAAGCACGTACTGAACCCCTTTTACACTACAATTCCTGCTTCAATAAAGCTACTTATTACTGTGGTATTCCTGCATAATGTGTGCTGTGGTTTGTGTGTTCGCTGTGGCAGAAATGTGAGTCATCCTTTCATACATATGCTTGTAACTAAGAGGTTATGCTCAAAATCATACAGTTCTTATGCAACCAAGATGCGTTCCATGAAAAAATAAGGATTTTACTGTTTCACACAATTTCCAAAACCAAGTTCAGCTCATCCCACCAACCAAAATCAAACATTTTTCAAAACAGAAAGTAAAAATCAATTTTCTACAAACTAATTTTCTTCAGTTCCTGATATATCATGATGTTTACATTTTATTTTCTTAAAATAATGACTCTTTGTGTTGAAATAATCATTTACAAACCCAGTTCCAAAAGTGTGGGAAATGCTCATAAAAACAGAAAACATCAATATATTTTGTTGGACATGTATTAAATTGAAAATGGTACAAATACACAACATTTGATGGTTTACCTTGTGAACTTTTTTTTGTATATATGTGCTCATTCCAAATATGATGTCAGCAACACATTCTGAAAAGGTTGAGACAGGAGCCTGTTTACCACTGTGCTACATCACCTTTCCTTTTAACTTCTTAGCATTCTTGGTCTTCAGCTGTGCAGCTATGCAGGGCCTTATTACATTGTCATATTTTAAGCTTGATAATGTTTCATATGTTTCTATAAGAGACAGTTCTTTACTGCAGGCCAGTCTACAGCACCTACACTCCCTGATTACACAGCCATGCTGTTGTAATGGGCAGAATGTGGTTTGGTGTCATGTTGAAATATGCCAGGGCGTTTCTGGATGCTGTTAACATATGACTTACACTGGTACAGTCCTAACTTGCATTTGTGGATGCGGTGACAGTGTTTATTGACAATAGTTTGTCAAAGTATTCCTGAGCCATGTGGTTATATTCATTACAGAAATGTGGTGTTTTTAATGCAGTGCTCTTTGAGAGATTGAAGGTCATGGTCATTCAGTTGTGGTTTCTGGCCTTATCCTTTGCATACAGAGATTTCTCCAGACTACCTGAATGTTTTGATGACATTATGCACTGCAGAGGATGAAATACCTTACATTCTTGCAATCGCACACCAAGGAACATTAATCTTATACTGCTGAATTTTTTGCTAATGGATTTTTGGCAAGGTGGCCTTCGACCCATCATCGCTTATAATGGACTAGGTATTTAACAGATGCTCCTTTTTAGCCAGGCATGATTTCATCACCTGTTTAAGATGTTTTTTGAATATTTCTCAATGCTTTTATTTGTACTTTACCTACTTTTTGTAGCTGATTTGGCTACTTTTATTCAAAAACTGAGCAGAACTCTCAGTGCGAAGTTGACCTTTTGACTACTAGGGCTAGGGAGAATCACCTCCCTTCTCAACCTGCACCAGTATGCCTGGAGACTTTTGACTTAACAAGTAAATCCTGGATACAAACTAAGTTTTATGAATTTTGGAAATTCCCTTCTGGGATCTCCCTCTTTCCTCTCTCTCCACTACCCTCTGCACATTACGTAGGTCATAAATTCATTCAGCTCCTTTCAGAGACTGAATCTTTAAACCCAGCTTCGTTCTCCTGCTCTCTGGTGAACTATATGACATGTTAATCTTTAATCAAATGCCAAATCAAATGACGCTCTTTTCCTAATCAAACTGTGAAAGAATGCCCCTCTGTGTCTATCTGTTAAAATATGGATGTGTAACTCAAACTCATGTTTCCCCATGCAGAATTGTCAGATTATATATATATATATATATATATATATATATATGTGTGTGTGTGTGTGTGTGTGTGTGAATATGTAACACTGTATTACGTAACTTCGTTTTCATTTAAGCATTGTTTAGAGATGTTATACTGTTGATTACTAACTTCGGAATTGTTTTCTTTTCGTACGAAATCTCATTTCCTTTTAGTAATCATGTTTCTTTTAAAAGGAGGATTGTTAGAGGTTTCAAGTAGCTTTATGTAACCATTGTGTGACATCAGAGTACTTCAATTATAATAGGTTATATGTTCATTAGTTTCTGGTAATATTTACCTTTGGAACAATAATGATGGTCATATATAAAATAACGTGCATACAATGTTCCTCTACTTAATGCTATGCAACCATTCTCAGAAATCTGTTTTTGTGAAGCTATTTTATGGTGAATTTGAGCAGATACTCAAAGACAAAGAGAACTATAAATTCATTAGAAACTGAGCTCAAAACCCCTTTGCTCTGCCCATGAAAAGGTCTGTTCATGTACCAGGACACAGAAAGAGAAGAGAAAGGAAAGAGCTTACGCAAGAAGACATTAAGATCTCATTCTCTGCACTGTAAATCTGCAGATTTTATTTTTGTTTTGTGTCTCAGCTCGTCGTGTCCATGTTAAGTTTGTTTTTTTATCTTCCCTCGAACAGTAATCTGATAGAGTTGTTAATTATTAGAATCATTGCATTTCCATGTTGAATAGTCGAATCAAGCTGTGTCTGTTTTAAGTTGCGTAAACATTTTGATGGCCAATAAAAGGTTATTATGAAATTTGCTAGCATAGTTTAAGAACTACAGACAGAAATAAACCAGTGCCGACCTGCAAGCCATCACATAAGTTTGCTTCAGTGGCCTGCTGTGAAACTGCGGCCTAAGATCACCAGCCACGGCTGAAGAAGTGGGAGAGTCTGCCATCCTCACGAAAGGCCAGCACCATGCTCATTCGTCCAGGCCGGTTTTTTGGGTGTTTCTTGGGGAATGTCCCTGGAACTCTGCTGTGACTCTCACCTCTAACCAGTGGCTCTCCTCCCCAGGCTTCACAGAAATAAGGCACTCTCACTTCTGTAGCTATATGATTTAGTCTCGGCACTGTGTTACTCTGTTCCCCCCTTTTAATTTAAACCTAGATCAGTCATTACACTTATTACATTCTGTAAACTACTCAAACCCCATAAAATAGCTATTTCCGAGTTTCAGCTAACTACCGCATTTTCATCCAGTGAATCTCGTGTCTAGTTTCTCTCTGCATACCTATTAATCTATCATTTAGTGTCTTTTTAGTTTGTTGTTAATAAATGACCATTTATTAAAGTTATCATGTTTGGTTGTGTGTGTACTTATCACAGTTTGACTAATTATTCTCTGGCTACAGGACGAACTTGACCTGAAATGATGCTTAAAGTCAGTTATGTTTATAGAATAAGTGGGAAATGGGGTGAATTAAGTGGCAATCATCAGCTACATTTTTTTGAGAAGACCTTGAGAAAATAAACCATCATTTCAACCTAATGAGTTTGAACTTTAAACAAGAGAATAAAAAACATTTTGTATGTAATCCCATTTCCTCCTAACAGAAATGGGATTACATACAAAAAACACTGGACATACAAAGATTTGCCATCAAATTAAATATTGTGATTTTCTAAGTGAAAGTGAATTTAGCACATCCTCTACAGAGAACACACTTCTGCAGAATTTAATGCACAATTTTAGTTGACCATTTGGGAAAATTTGTACCATTTTTGTACACATTTCATGTTCAATGCATTAAATTCAGCAAATAAATAGTAAGTATGCATTAAATTGTGCAGAGTTGTGTTAACAAAAATCAACAACGAACATAGCTGTAACTCCATATCTAACTCTATAGATAACTATATTGGCCACCCCATCAGAGCAAAGTGCCATTAGACTGTTGGTAATTAGTGCCTATCTTAGTAAACCTTCCTCTAAATTCCTTCACTGAGGTAAAGAAAGTCTTACCAATGCCATGATGATGGTACAGCATGGATGTAACACCATCAAACCGGAAGCCATCAAAACCGTACTCATCCACCCACCATCGCAGGTTGGACAAGAGAAAGCGTGACACCTCCCAGCTGAAAAAGAAAAACAAATCAAAACAGTAGTGTTATAAGAAAAAATGACAAAAACAGCAGTTTGTTACACCGTCAAGAACTTTTTCTGCACGATAAAGATCAAAGCAGCAACTGGAATGTGTTTCTTGAGACAAAGCGTTTCATTTCCTGTAAATAGATGACTCAGCTGACCCAGGTGACCCTAAGTTACTTTGCTTGGTTTTGGAGGGAGTACAGACATCTTCATTCAGCATCAAAGAGAATGTACAGTATCAGAAGCCTACAAGGAATAAGTGTAACCACACTTTCCTCAGGAATTATCTCTTGAGAGAGCAAGCAGAAGTTTAACAACACAGCTACCTCTACACACAGAGCAGAGAGAGATTCTCCCTCCAGACTGATTAAAATACGTAATATTGAGGATTTGTATATAAAAGAATTTAGTCTATTAAAAGTGAGAAACACAAAGAGAGAGTGAGAGAGAGGGAAAGAGAGGGAGAGAAGAGAAAAGAGGCTTGAGAGAAAACATAAGAGCTATTACTACCTAACTGACTGACTGATTGACCATTGGTTAAATGTGCATATTGCTGTTGTCGGAACAAAACCTTGTATCTCCATTTTTGATGTTTTTTGAGATAATTTGGAAATACCTGTTGCCCTTTACATTGTATGCAAATTATATGATGAATAGACCAAAAGAAATAACCCAAAATGATTTGGAAAAAAGTCTGGTTCCATTTACTTGAATTAAAAGGAAAGTATGTTTTTTATTTTCCTGTAAAGTTATCAATTTGGAGATACATGATTTTGTTCTGACAACAGTGATATGCAAGAATTTCAAAGGATACCATGCAGTGTAGGTCATTATGCAGAATAGAAATACCAGCAACGGCAATTGCAACTAGCACAAATTAGAGAGAAGACTAAGATTTCAACACTGAATGCAGCGATAAAACTATAAAGCAATAAACTGCTGCAATAAAAAGAGAACTTTAACTAATCACTGAATTATAGAAATCTACTTATACAAATAGGTTTCATCCAAGAATGCTGATTTTCTCTAATGTTAACACTTGCAGACATGTTGCACACAGACAACAATAACAGCCCCGCTACACATTTGTAATTCTATACAAATCGATGTAGTTATAATTAATTTGTGGGATCTTACATACATAGACAACCGTGAAGGAGCTGAGCTAAAAGTGGGTGGGAATATAGGGAATTAGGGTGGCAGCAAGCTGAGTATGCCATTTCTAAACCAATCCACTTTCCTGTGAAGGCACAACTTAAAGTTGGAGCAAGTGTGTCCTCAAATGACAAACTGTTTTATCCTAATTTAATTTCTGAATGCTTTTTAAAATTTCTTTTCTGTTAAATCTATTATTTTAATCATGATTTAATACTATTCTCATACATCTTTTTCAATTTTATTATGGATTACCTTTGTATTTTCTTATTTGTAAAGCACTTTGAATGACCACAATGCATGAAAAGTGCTAGATAAATAAACATATTAGCACATTATTAAAAGCTCTCCAAAAAGTCCAGGTAAGCATGTAGATGTGTGTTGCGTACACGGAGAATACATTACGTACTGTAAAGATAAACATTATTTTAACCAGACTTTAGCTTTAGACGACATCACTGGAGTAGTCTGAGAAACTGGTTCTATTTTCTGCTTCTCACAATCTAAGAGATCCCAAACACATTCAGTGATGTTGAGGTCTGGACTCTAGGATGGTCAGTCCATTGTTCTGATAACACCTGCAGCTTTGTTGTTTAATTTGCAAATTTTCTCCTTTTTGACTGCTTTCCTTATTTCAGCAATGGCTTCTTGACAGCTACACATCCTTTCAGACCCATAGTGTTGTGTTGTTGTCTCACAGTGGAAGGATGGACAGAAACACCTGTAGATTTTTTCAGATCTGAAGCAAGAGTGGAGCTTGATTCTCTCTTAAAGATGAAAGCTTTAGGTGCTGTTTATCTTTTATTAATTTTTGGAACTCCAGTTTTAGAGCACTTACTTTGCCTTCCCTTTCCTCCTGCGAGTGGATTATATTACATTTAATCTCCTCAATTTCCCTTATTATAGTAAATTTGGTCGTTAGACACGACTGAGTTAACACAAAGCTTGTGTTTGGGGCTTTTTCCCGCATTTCCTCATATTTTCTATCACATGCTAGTAACAGTGCATATGAGTTTGGCTGCTGTTTTTATTCATTTTTTTTCTTTGTTAAAATAATATCCCAATTATCTTTAGTTATCTCTTACCATTCAGAGAAATGACTCTGATATGATTCCCACATCCAGAAATCATTAAGATACAGAATATAAGATCCTAGAACAATCACAAAGATTTACTTAAAGGAGGGAAAGATGGGCTGACATGACCTTTCCTTTTATATCCTTGCCTCTGAATTCAGCGATCAGCATGCTTTCAATTTAGAATTCAAATGCAGTGCAAAGCTCAATCAAGCTAAAACAGGAAAAAAAAACAAAAAACAAAAGCAGCATCATGGTGAACGCTGTGTTGATGGAGACGCAGATGGTAAAGGTGGCAACGATTCATTGTTCACGTCACGTCTGTCAGCTAAGGCAAAGTAACCATGCTCGCCAGAAAGAACCCAAAGAGCTGGTGCTCTCGCTGCCTGCCACTAAATGTCAGACAATTTACAAGCCATCTTCGTGCAGAGCATAGGCTTATTAAATTCAGGTTCAAAGAGGCCTTTGTGGTTCTAAAATGCACCTGCAGCATCCTTCCCTGTAGGAAACTCCTAAACATTCTCTGCATAATGAAGTTTCCAGCCTATGCCTGCATACTGAAGCTGCATACAGAAGCCTTCAGTCAATGCTTGTATACTGATGCTGCATGCTGAATTAGAAAGCTAAGACAAACAACAGCTGATCAAAACTCAATGCCGCCAATCAATAGTGTTAGTGTTTGGGAACAGTTAGGTCAAGGTCAAAGTATTTTATCTGTGAAAGGCCTGAGGAGTATTTAGTAAGATATTTTAAAAAGGATAGAGTGCATCTGTTTCTACCATTAGGCTCTGAGCAGGTTAACTAGTAGCAAATACAACCCACATAAAAGGAGCACTCCAGCATTTTCCAACCTAATCTCTGTCTGCTGCATCTGTATCACACAGTTGACTATCAGGGCCAATAATTTGAATAAAATTACTTTTATCTGGGGAAAAAAAAGAAAGCTTGCTGGCTCAAAACTCATGTATGATGGTAGGTTTTGAGCCCATTGGCTTTTTTATGATAGAAGATAATGGGCAGTTGCTGAAGTCTGAAATGTGTGACCAAATATTCAATTTAAAATTCAAAACTACCGCCATTCAGGTATTAGGATGAGATTGACATAAGAGAATTTCTCAACAAAGCTGTACTTAAGAAGGTTTATCTAACCGATCAACACAATAAAGAATAGTTTTGGTTGTGTTCACTTACTCTAATGTTTTCTAGTATCCATGCCTGATCAGGCCAGCAAGAACCTGTAAAAACTCTGCCCCACCACTGTGTCCGGCCAAAATCTATGATTTATGTCCTCACACTCTACGACAATGCTCAGTCCAGCTGAGATGCTATAACGTGGGTGCTATAGGCAGTCCTTTCTATGAACAACTTTCAGTAAAGCTATTTTATACAGTGTGCAGCCAAGTACCCAGGAAGTATGTTTGGAAAGTGTGCTCCAGCCCATTGTGCCACAATGTAGACTGAAAAAAAAAACTGGAAAATGAGATGATGTACGTGGGCAGGTACTCCTCAGTGGTGCCACTGCATAGGCGGTGATGGCACTACCACTTGCGCCTCGCTCTGTCAGGGTGGGTAGGATGCTGCCCCCCCACCATCAATCAGCATGATGCTATCCAATGCAAGTGACTGTTAGCTGATGTAATAGAATTAGCAGTTAGCATTCTCCAAGTGCGCTAAGCTGTCCAGTAATGTTGAGTTAGCAGCAGTTTCAGAAGCTGTAGTGGTGCTTCTTGTGTGTCAGAGGAAGTGCCAGTCTTCAACCTCCCAGCTTCATAGTGTCCTGTGATGGGGGACCTAGCTAGCAGGTGGAATGGGCCCTGATTAAACAATAGAGGAGAACATTTTTAATCAAACAAACAAACAAACAAACAAATAAATAAATAAATAAATACATACATACATACATAAATAAATAAAGTACATGGGTAGGCAAGGACAATGAAAACAGGCTAAAATCCAATGGTGACAGTAACAAAGTACATGTACTTCATTATTGTACTTAAGTACTTTTTTTTCAAGTATCTGTAGTTTATTAAATGATTTCCATTTTATTGAGGCTTTTACTTTCTTCAAAGGTTCTGCTTAAACAATGAAGTCAAAACTAGATTTTCAGGGCTCCCGAGTGGCGCAACCATCTAAGCGTTGGCCCTACCGTCAGGAGATCGTAAGTTCGATCCCTGGTGATGCTACAGCCACCCATAGCCGGGAGTCCAAGAGAGCACAATTGGCTCTCTTGGACTCCCGGCTATGGGTGGCTTGAATGGCCCCTCCTTCTCCCCCCATCACTCAACGAGATGCTAATCAGTGCAGGCGTCTGTTAGCTGACGTAACAGATCTGTCGGTTGGCGCTTTCCTCAGAGCGCGATCAGCTGTCCAATGACGTTGCATGAGCGGCAGTTCGAAAAGATGTGGTGGCTGGCTTCACAGGTCTCGGAGGAAGCCTGTGTTAGCCTTCACCCTCCTAGTGTAGATAGTATCGTGTGATTGGGGGAGTCCTAACTAGCGGGTGGAATTGGAAACGACTAAATTGGGGAGATAATTGGGTTAACCCCCTCCCCCCCCCAAAAAAAACTAGATTTTCCGTAATGTCCAAAAGAATATGATACATTTTCATAAATACATCAAACCATTAGTGTTTCACCAAATCCCTGGTACCACTTTACAGATTGGTATTAAGCAGGTAATAATATAATAATATTACGTTAACAAGTAGCAGTAACCTAAAAAGTACATGTTAATTTTCTAGTCAATACAAAACA